TGGAAGTGAAGGTCATGTGGAGTTTAGGAACTTATCTTAGAGTTTTACGTCAAACATTTTTTTGTTGATGGATGAATCAAGTTATTCGACCCTTTCCTTCAGATTCTGTGTTTGATGCATGAACACTGTGGCTCCACAGCTGTGATGAAAATGAAACCACTGTATTTCCAGGTGGGAGCGATCCAAGCCAACGCAGTGGATGACGGGCAGTGGTCTCAGGGACTCATTTCAGCCGTAAGTCTCCTCCCTCCTCAACAATTGCGACTTTTTTTTAACGCTAAAACCTTTTCACCATCGCCGCCTTTGTCTCCTCAGGCTCGGATGGTTGCTGCAGCGACCAACAACCTGTGTGAGGCGGCCAACTCCGCGGTGCAGGGGCACGCCAGCGAGGAGAAGCTCATCTCGTCGGCCAAGCAGGTGGCAGCGTCCACCGCTCAGCTGCTGGTCGCCTGCAAGGTCAAGGCCGACACGGACTCCCAGACCATGAAGAGGCTGCAGGTCAGTTCTGCGTCTTCATGTCCGTCCCACTCCTGCACACACAGGGACCCTGTTCTCTGCTCAACTATCACATGATGAAGGGAAAACCTCCACATGTCAGTGGGAACATGGCCGATCACATAAATACACAAGGATTGAAAAGGAATTTAAAATTCAGTGTTCGAACGTCACAAACACAAACAAATGTCTCTGGAGACAAAGTGCTGACACACACGTAGAAGACACAGACGAAGACGTGAAGACAGTTTGTGGTGATGAGAGCTGACGACGGCGTCAGGTGATGTAAACATGATCACATGATCACTTCCTGTCTGTCTGCTCCACCTCTCACCTGAAGAACGAGGAGGATCTGATGCTGAACGAGTCTGAGCAGAAAACACAAACTCTGGAGACGATATAATATATTTATTATTATAAATGAATATGAATAAAAGAAATGAACAATGATATTTAATGTAAATATAAACAGTGACTCATTTAGCTGGAGGTCATGTGTTTGTCTCCTCCTAGAAGGAGGCGAGGACTTTGCATTAGTTACCACGGTAACGAAGTATGTTTGGACCAAAGCTATTCAGTTGAGGCCGAAGAGCCCAGGTCCAAAGTTAGCTCTCTAATCCAGCTTCATCGGTCCGACATCTGATCCGAGCGAGCGCATAGCGAGAGGTGTGGTCTATCCTCTGCATGTGATTCAGAGCAGCGCTACCTGCTGAGGGAACAATGACATCAGTCGCTCTGCGACAGCTGCGTCTATTCATAGGCTGCAGTGTTCGGGCTTCAGGTGCGCGGCTGCTGCGTCAGGATTACTGCGCTACATTTAGCACAGGTAGAGAGAGGATCACATTCTGCTGCAGTTCAGGGGCTAAAGGAAGAATACGCACATTTCATTTCACATTGGAGGTGAGAGACGAGGAGAGGCCAAACACTGAGGGTCAACAAATCTGTGAACAGCTCAAACGATCAGAACTATTGTTGTGTTGTGTCATCTGGACCCGCCCCCCTCTGCCTGTGATTGGCTGGTGTTGGCTGAGTTAGAGGATGGGTCAGCCAATCAGAGCGTGAGCAGAACTTCATGGAATAAAACAAACTCCAGATACGTAGTATTTATATTTATAGTAGAACTGCTAAATCAAGTTTGAACGACTCTGAACTTATTCAAATGTCGCCGCCCCTCAAAACCAGCTGATTGGTACGAAGTCACCAGACAACCTGAAAACGTAGTTCGTTACTCTGCGGAACAGGAAACACTGTGTGTGTGTGTGTGTGTGTGTGTGTGTGTGTGT